ATATATATATATATATATATATATATAGTGTACATACACTGTAAGCAATTTATTCGAACAAATGTATTAGCTTGAGCTGCAGATACACCCGAATCCATCACTCAGTTCAAACCCCAAGACAAATAAAATAATAATAATGACCCCTACCTTAAGAAGAAAAACTATCAGTCAGGAGGGCCTCGTTAACTACACAATACCTGCATATATATATATATATGTATATTATATATATATACTATATATTATATATATACATCTATATAAATATATACGGGGAGAGACAATATACATCTGTCTGTCTCTTCTGTTTGTTTTATCTGTATCTCCCTGGAGCTGATCCCTCTTTATATAATTTTATTTTTGAAATTATATTTTTGTCTTTATTTCTCTATTTTTTTCGGGTGTCTCCTCAGCTTCAGCCCATAGTAAAAGATTTTTATTAAGGCCCCTACATTTCCACAGCAGAGTTTGACTTTGGTTTATATGATGAATATTATTTAACCAAAGACGAGAGGGTAGAGGCAAACAGAAGAGTTTATTCTTTTTATTTAGAGCCCAGCAGATAGAGAGGAGACACCTGTCTCCTTTCGCTGCTTCTGGTGTATATACAGCACAGTTTACTCCTCTGCTTGTTGATGCTAAAGAAAGAACATTTGCACCAATAGGACAGACGCCTTTAATCTCTTTTAATTGCGTATTACCTCTTAGAAAGGTTTTATTATTATTGTTTATCTCTCCTTCTGTCTCTTCATTATAATTGTTTGTTTCGTCTTCTTCATCTGTCTCTTCTTCTTCTTCTTCTGTCTCTTCTTCTTCTGTCTCTTCTTCTTCTTCTTCTTCTTCTTCTTTTTCTTCTGTCTCTTCTTCTTCTTCTTTTTCTTTCTTCTTTTTATATTTGTCTTTGCTTCTTGCGTTAGCCGCGGGGCCTTCGATCATTTGCTGCCAAGGAGCAGCAAATGAAATAGGAGGAGGAGGTAAATATGTCTGAGGAATACCCCACATTAAGAGCCGCTGCTGCTCATTCTTTGCTGCTGCTCTTGCTGCTGCTGCTGCTGCTGCTGTTGTTGTTGTTGTTGTTGTTGCTGCTGCTGCGGATGTTGTTGCTGCTGCTGGTATTGTTGCTGCTGCTGGTGTTGTTGCTGCTGATGTTGTTTCTGCTGCTGATGTTGTTGTTGCTGCTGTTGTTTCTGCCTCTGCTGCTGTTGTTGGTGCTGATGTTGTTGCTGCTGCTGTTGTTGCTGCTGGTGACGTTCCTTCTGCAGCAGCAGCAGCAGCAGCAATAACGTAGCTGTCTGTACAGCAGATTTGTCCTGTAAGGCGTAGTTGCTGCGGCAGCAGCAGTTCTTCAGGTGTATCCTCTCTAGCAGTAATATTTCTCCTGAGTAATTGATTTCTAGTGTTGACACCAAAAGAATAAACCTTTTTCTTTTCTGTTTTTATAATACTATAGTGGGGCCCGCATGCAGCAGCTGCGCATACACCCCAATCAGCAGATGAATATACTTTTCGAGGTATACACACAAATAATAAATTGCAGCCCTCAGACCCTAAACCTAACTCCCCGTGCTTATTACAGCCCCAGCTAAACACCGCTTCTTCTTCTTCTTCTTCTTCTTCTTCTTCTTCTTCTTCTTCTTCTTCTTCTTCTTCTTCTTCTTTATCTATATCTAAACCTTCTGTCTCTTGTTCTTCTGTCTCTTCTTCTGCTGTCTCTTTGCCTGTCTCTTCTTCAGCTGTCTCTTTGTCTGTCTCTTCGTCTTCTGTCTCTTTGTCTGTCTCTTCTTCTTCTATATCTCCTTCTTCTTTACTTTCTTTATCTTTATCTTTACTTTCTTTATCTTTATCTTTAATTTTTTTATCTTTATCTTTAATTTTTTTATCTCTGTATTTATTTTGTTTATTTTGTTGTTCTTGGCTGTGTTTGGTGCTGTCTTTTTCTGTGCATTTCTCCTTCACTTCTTTTATTTTTTTATTTCTTCTTTCTTCATTACCACACCTCTTTATTCTTTTCAAAGGCCTCTCACCTGAGCTGCTGCTGCTGTTGCTGCTGCTGCTGTTGCTGCTGCTGCTGCTGCTGCTCAAGCAGGGTCTCCATGCTGCTGTATATACACCTGAAGAATTGCAGAGCGGAGAGGCGTAGATCCAGCGAAGAACAAATTAAATAAATAAAAACAAAGAGAGAAATTAGTTGAATTAGAAAACAAAACAAAAAAATACTCTCAGGTTTTTACTACAAGTTAGAGTGTATGAAGAAGAAAGCCGCAGCAGTTTGCGGTGTATAAACACCACAAGAAGAGAAATAAAAAAACATTTTAGGGGATTATAACGAATAAATTTATCTTTAAAATCAATAAATTGATTAAAATATATTAATTAATATTTATTTTCATCTAAATCAGTAAATAAGCTGCAGCCCCGCAGTTGAGGTGTCTGTACACTCCAAAATTTGCATGCAATAATAAAAAAAAGAATTATAAGAAATATAATTTTATATTTATATTTAAATATAATATATTAAACAATTAATAACTAAAAAATATATTTTTTTAATCGTAATAATATTTTTTTCAATGCTTCCCTCATGCTTACAGTTGTTATTACTGTTTGTTTTATTGTTATTCTTATTTTGTTTTTATTTATATTAATGTTATTATAAATATTATATTATTATTATTATTATTTTATATCTATTATTATCATAGCAACTATTATTGTAATTATTATTATTGTGGCTGTTACTATAACTATTATTTTTATAATAACAATTATTATTATAAATGTTATTACATAATAATAACAATAAAATAATAATAACAATAAAAAAATAATAATTAGCATAATAATAATATAAAAAAAGTTATAAAAATATTATTATTATTATTGTTATTATTATATCTACCGTTTACTATGTAGCAGGATTATGTATAATTTTTACTGGTATATCTTCGTATTATTACTGTGCATAATATTATTTAATTATTATTATTTAATTATAATTATTATTTATTTATTTATTTATTTATTTGTTGTTATTATCAAAGTGCTGACAGCCACCAGCCTAAGGGATGATGTCTACGTTTGGGGTGTACATTACATAGAAGTGCAGAGATAAGCATTATTATTAATATAATAATTTGTAAATATATATTACTTCATATACTTTATTATACTTAATATACTACATTATATAATGTAATATATTAATATAT